CTCCCTTCCCTCCTTCTCTCCTCCCTTCCCTCCTCCTCTCCTCCCTTCCCCCCTCCTCTCCTCCCTTCCCTCCTCCTCTCCTCCTATTTATTTCCTCCTATTTATTTCCCCCTTCTCTCCTTCCTCCTCCCTTTTTCTCCTTTTTCTCCTATTTCTCCTATTTCTCCCTTTTCCTCCTATTTATTTCCCCCTTCCCTCCTCCTCTCCTCCCTTCCCCCCTTCTCTCCTCCCTTCCCTCCTCCTCTCCTCCCTTCCCTCCTTCTCTCCTCCCTTCCCCCTTGCCTCCTTCATTTCTTCCTCTGTGTTCTCTTCCTGCCTCCTTTCCTCCCTCTGTCTTTCTTTAGATTTTAGACACAAGCAATTTATTATGATTTTTAAGCATAGAAATTACAAAATATCTCTTCATGAAAAAAAAAAAAAAAGACTAAGCAATAGTCAGGATATGTAAGATAAAGTTCTCTCCTCCCAGTTCCTAGCTGCACAATTCCAAGTAACCTTAATTTCCTCCTCAGCAGAATAGGGCTGTGGTCTGCCCGCTGCAGTGCTGGTGACAAGGTCGGGGAGAGGGCACAGTGCTCTGCCACACTTAAAGAACACAAGCAAATGCTGCTTATTGTTTCTGTTGAGTAATTTGTGAGCCCGAAACTTTAGAAGGATCCAACTTAAGACAGTCAGAATCAACTATGTGCAAACAGAGATGAGCGAAAGCACCACACACATCTTCGGTGTAGAGTCAGAAACCCTGTGGGAGGTTGGGGCTCTCTGGAGGTTCCTGGGAGGACGGGGTCCTGGCAAAGGCTGGGATCAGAGCGGCCCGTCTGCCCTGCCATGCACGGCTCTCCTGTCTGCAGGTTATGGGAAAATCCACCTCTTTTAAATATTGTTCCAAAGCCCTGGCATTTGTTACATTTTACTTTGTTACCAAAACATAGTTTTTCACAGTGTATCTCTGAACACTCAGTATAGGACATGTGTTATGTATTTCAGTAATTACCATAGTATAGAGAGTGCAGAAGTAGGGTTTTAAAGTTTAGCATTACAAAATGGAAACTGAAAATATAACAGTAATGTTGAAATTATGCTTCTTATTTTTTCAAAGATGTGAGATTACCTAATTCTATTTTAATTTAATAATTCAGGAAACTCCTGAAACATGAAATTATTGCCTTCCCAAGAAAGGCAATACTAAGACAAGTTATTTGACCTGTGACTTCAAAAATTCCGCACATATGTGTTTGAAAATAACAAATTATGAGGTTGATTTTTACCAATTGATTTTCATTTAACATTGCTGTGGCAAAATTTGGTGTCAAAGATTGTTAGTTTGTTCTAAATATAATTGATGTTTAATTTGATAAGTTTTATTAATTTCTTCCAATGTTGTATTCCATTTGTTCAGTCCATGTTATCAGAAAAGAATAATACTTTCTAAAATTTCTTTTAGGTTTTGAAACTAACATGAACCTAACTAGCAGGGATGATCCCCGTACATCAGAAATTGCATCAGAGACTCAAGATAGGAATGCAAATAACCATGGAATTCAATTATCTAATGCACTATCTAGTGCCATAACTGCTGAAAATGGAAATTCTGTCTCCAATGGTAAGCACTTTTTAAACTCAAAAGTAAATGGATAACGGTTTTGATCTGTATCAACTTTCCAGGAAGAATGGATTTAAATTATAAAACTGAAGTAAGTGTTAAAAGCTGGAAAATGGACGACAGAGCTTGCAGCTTCACCGTAAGTATTACTGTCAGCACGTTCTTGCTTATACTGAAGCATTAGAACTGCATTCACTCTGTGTTGACTTTTCAGAAACGGTATGGAGTATCGGTCTGTGTGAATCAGTATAAAATGCGTCTTATCCTAAGCAGAGGACAAAATAGATTCTTTACGAAATTTAAGGACATAGTCTTAACTTTAAAAATATTAATGTATTTTCACATTTCTACAAACTGTGAAAGAAAATAATGTTGAAAGAATGGAAAAATGCCAAACTGACTGTAAGTATTTTAAGTGGGTCAATAACTCTATCATTTGGACATTGTCTTGGCTGTGTGTGCCCCCAGGTGTGAAAAGGGGCTTAAACAAATATTTCCCTCACACATAAAGAAGGCAAGGGCTTTTAGTAAACATTTTTTTTTCTGTTGTTTAGTCTGATTAGAGGTGCTGGAGAGCATCAGGATGGCGAGATAATAAGAGGTTACAGAAGACACAGGGATGGGATGTAGTGTGAGCCCAGGGAAGGAAGCCACTTCCCGGCCTCGTCTCCTCCAGGCACTGGGAGCTGAGCGTCCCACCCCCTCCTGGAAGAGCAGGGACAGAGAAGGAGCCTAGGCCTGCCAAGACCTTGGAGTGGGGCCTTAAAGTGGCCTCACTAGAATCAGAGTGAACCGGAACCCAGAACCACAGCTGTGAATCAGCTCAATCCCAAAGTTGGATTGGGGGGCTCAGGTACCTGGCAGAAGTGTATAAATCTGTCTCAAAGGACCATAGCATTCTGTGCTTCAAAAAGTTTTCACAGACTGTTTTTCAAATACTATGTCTAGCAAACAATAAAAAACAGCCAGGCACATAAGGATACAAAGTAAGGTGAGAATTTACAAGTAGAAATAGCAGGCAATTGCAACATATTGACAGGGGCTCAAAAGCTTGGGGTTAAAAGACATGTACCTTAAAATAAGTATATTTACTTTGCCTATTAAAAGAGAAATAGGAACCATAAAAAACAAACGGACATTCCCAAATTGTGAAATATACTAAGAAAATGGGGCATAGCTAAGGATGAGGTTAAATCTAATCAGGCACAGTTAATTTCAACAGCCACCACCAGCACCAGCACCAGCACCAGCACCAGCACCAGCACCTGCGGAAGTGAAGATAAGTCAGAAACTCCCCAGAAGGAAACATACCAAAGAAGCAAAAGAAAAGAATGGAAATTTCAGGAAAATGATCTGAAGACATACAGGACACAGGGGGAAGGATGACAGGAATCTTAGAGAAAAAAGAGAAAGCACAGGAAAAAGACTGGTGAGAAATGTTCAGAGGATTTTTTCAGTACTGATAAAAGAGGATCAAGAACCAGATTGATGCTGGCAGCTTCTTACAAAGTTCCAATGCGCTCCCTGTGTGCCCAGTAACCCTGCCACTCCGTGTCTACCCAGGAGAAATGAAAGCCATCTCCACACAGGCACTTGAGAGCAAGTGCTATGGTGACTATTAGTAATCACGGGAACTGGAAATAAATTCAGTGTCCTTCAGATGGTGACTGAATTGTACTAGTCAACCATTTCTGTGCAACACGTCACCCCCCACCCCTGGAGGCTGCAGGCAACACGTGGCTGTGATAGAGCAGGCCTGGGGACAGGCTATGCCCGAGCTGGGTGCTCTGCCCTGACGTCCCTCACGAGATAGCAGGGGAGCTGTCAGCCAAAGCAGAAGTCACCTTGAGGCTCAGTTTGGGGCGGTTCCATTCTCAAGGTCACTCACATGTCTGTTGGCAGGCTGCAGGAAATTCACATCCAAGTCTACTCGCCTGGGCCTCTCAGGCTGCCTCACAGCAGGGCCACTGGCCTCCCCGTGAGCCAGTGTCCAAGAGGACACCAGATAGAAGGTGCCGTCTTCACATAACCTAATTTTAGTAGTGACATCCAGCACTCTTGTGACAGTTGATGGAGTCACTAAATCCAGGCTGTGCTTCATGGGCAGGGATTCCAGGAGGGCCTGAGTGCCTGGAGGTGGGCTCACGGGGGACATCACACAGGCCAGAATAGCACGTGGACAGAACCTGGAATAAATAACAGCAATCGACTCCTAAGCATAGCACAGGGGTGGCTCAGAGGCAGAGTCAGGATCAGAGGACTGTGATTTTGCTTCTAGGACATTCGAGAGAAACCACAGCTACAGGGTGGAGAGCAGATGAGTGGTGGCCACAGGCAGAAGGTAATGGCACAAGGTGGAAAGCACAGCGGCCTGGGGTCCTGTTGGGATGTGTGTGTGTGTGTGGGGTGTCCCCCAGATGCACAGATGTGTGTCTGAAACAGTGACTTGTGTCTGTAAGTCACCCCACAATCAGCCCAACCTTTGTAAAGATAAATAAATAAATAAATGAAATGCAAAAAAAAAAGAGAAAAAAATAAAAAACCTATGCACAGCCTGTGTCAGATAAACAAAAGGAAACTGCTCCCCACTCCCTGGCAGAGCGTGGTGAAATACCAGTGAAATATGGAGTAGGCAAGAGGCTTAAAGCTGCCAGAGGTGAAAGACAAAGTACCTGCCCAGGAGCAGCAATTGAAGTCCAAAAACAATGAGATGCCACATTTAATACGCTCAGATAAAAAACTGCCAGCCCCGAATTTTATAAATAACAGAAAATGCCTGTAAAAATGCAGGGGGATTAGGATATTTTTAGAAAAGAAAAATGGAAAGAATTAAACACTGACTGATTCCGAATGTTCAGAGGTACTGGAAAGAAGGAAGAATAATAAAAATGGTAAGTAAAATTAGGAGGGCATAAAATAACATTTAATATATACATGATAAATCTACTTGGCAGTTATAATCTCATAGGTAACCCTTGCAAGCATGCTGATGGGGTGGAGAGTTTCCAAACTAATAAAGGGAGTAAAATAGAATAATAAAAAGTCAGTCAACCTAATAGATGGGAAAGGGGGGCAAAATAGGAATATTTGAAAGGCCGAACAAACAGAAAGTTCTTAGACGGTAGAAATAAAAGCATATATGAAAATAAACTTCACTTAATTTCATTAAATTTTAAAAGACTTTTTAATATAAATATACATTAAAGATAATTGATTAGTACAACACTGTAAAGACTGAAGTTAATGAAAACATGTGAAGGGTAAAGATTCTGGATGATTAAACGTAAAGGGACAGAAAAGGACAGTGACATGCAAGTGTCCAAAGCAGCAGCAGCCGTGCTCAGGTGCTGGAAGGCGAGAACTACACCTCTAAATAATCGGTGGATCCGAGACAAAATCCCACTGTAAATTAAAACGACGAACATTCTAACTGACAAAATGAGCTAGAACAACAGAACTTGGGAAACATGGCTCATGGCTTAACAAATGGAAATACCTTAAACATTTGCATGGTGAGGCTGAAAATCAGTGTTGAAAATGCCGGTAAGTTAGAAGTAGAACAAAAATTAAACACCAAGACAATAAAAGGAAATAGACAATAAGGATAATAAGAACATGAGTTGTTAAAATATTTAAAAAGCAGGGCGGCACCTGTGGCTCCAAGGAGTAGGGCACCAGACCCATATACCAGAGGTGGTGGTTCAAGCCTGGCCTGCAAAAAAAAAAATCTGCAAAAAAAAAAAATTAAACAGCGAAAAACTTGGTTCTTTGGAAAGAAATTGTCTTCAAAAAATAATAAAATGGATAATTGCCTTGCAAGGGTAAGAGAAATAAAGAATGTGAACACAAATGAAAATTCTGGGGATGAAAAGGGGATATCACAAACGATCTTGCAGAAATTAAAAAATAATAAAAGACTGTTATGAATAGTTTTATGCCAAAATCTATTTGTAAATTCACATGAACAAACAGTTATCAAAAAAAAAAATAAACAAAACTAGCAAAACTGGAGAAAAGAAACAGGAAAGTTTATAAGGTAGTAAATATTAAACCAATTGAATTTGTAGTTACCTACCTACAAGGATGTTACCTCCCTATTAGGAAAACTGGAGACCCAAATAGTTACTCTAGTAAATTCTCTCAAAATTCCAAGGATGAAACATTGCCACCGTCACACAGATGCTTCCAGAGAAAAGAAATAAAGAGGAAGACAGAGAAAAAAAATGAAATTCTTCCAACTTACATAAATAGCTACTTAATTTGTGACAAAATGAGGGTTGTCAGGAGCTGGGGAAGGAATACTCAGTTGCTCTCCATGTGGGGGTTATATATAAAACCTCAGGACAGAAAAGGACAAAAAAAAAAAATAGACTTCTTAAACAGGACACCAAAGTGTGCCAACCACAAAAGTAAAAGTAAAAAGAGAAATTGGGAGAAAATATTTTCAGCATATTTTGCCCAAAGGAGTCATATTAGGAGTTTACTCAAAAACAAAAAATATCTGGAATAGAAAATTGGACAGGAGACTTGAATAAGCACTTAAATAAATATTTTAGTTCATCCTTATTAGTAATTAGAGAAATGAAACTTAAAACCCCAATGTGATGGATCCTACTACTCACCCTAGAAAATGACAGAACTCAGTGGCAGGGGTGGAGGCCCCGAGAAGGATTTCCACAGAAGTGCGGACCCTGAGCTCACCCGGAGGAGAAGAGGCCAATAGTGATTGGTGGAGAGAAGACGACGGAGGCCTCCTGAGAGCCCAGAGTTCTATCCTTTGACTTGAACTTTGGATTCCACACTTACAGAGCCTGAGAGTCGGAGGGAAGAGGGAACATCACTTCACCTCCCTTCACCAAAAATAATTACGTTTTCTGTGTTTTGAGTCAAAAAGCAAAAGTGTTAGGTAACAATACACAATATTGTGAGTGTTACTCTAAATATCAAAACCTAAGCCAATGGAACAAACAAAACCCTTCCCAGACCAGAATGGAACTATT